ATGCTTTGACACAGGAAGGCTCACTATGACATTAGCCATTTATTCATTTGAAACTAACTTATAAAATATTAAATACAAAAATCATCATCACTCATGACACAACTAAGAATGAAAATTTTTCTTTTAAAATGCTTTTTTGGGGGACTGAAGAGATGCCTCCAAAGTTAAGCACACTGATTGCCCTTGAAGAGGACAGGTGTGGTGTGTATGTGTGTGTGTGTGTGGGGGGGGTTGATTCCCAAGACCCACACGAAGGCTCCCAATCATCTGCAGGCACCAGGTATACATGCAGTGCACAGACATATATGCAGGCAAAAACACCATACACATAAAAACAATAAACTAAAAAAACTTTTCAGGGCTGGGGAAATGGATCAGTTGATATATCAGGAGCTTTCAACACACTGAGTTTGACTCTCAGTTCAATTCACAGCAGCCATGTTAGAAAATACAAGTTAAAGGAAAAACTGAGTATGGTGGGAAATGCTTGTAATCCCACTACTGGGGAGGTAGAGATAGGCAGAGGAGCCGACCAGGTGAATGAAGGCTAATGAGAGATCCTGCCTCGTAGGAGGTGACTGGCTGTCTTGGGGAACACCTGGACACACACACACACACACATATGTATAATTACAGTTTTGCATGATTTTAATGCCTATTGGATCATAGAAACTGGGTTAGTGTCTCATCATACAGTCTAAACTTTCAGAATTAAAATAATAAAAGTGTCTAGCAGCATAATTAAGCATAGCTACATTCATAGAAGTTGATTCAAATTGTATAGTTTGCTAGGGCTGTGTTATAGTTAGGTTGCTGTTGTCATGGCAAAACACCATGACCAAAGCAACACACAGAAAAAAGGGTTTCTTTTACTTACAAATCTCAGGTCACGATCTATTATTACCCATGGAGGTAAGGGCAGGAACTCAAGGCAGGAACCTAGAGACAGGAACTGATGTGGAGACTACAGAAGAGCATTACTAGTTTCGTCCCCATAGCTTGCTTGAGCCTGCAGCTCAGGACCACCTGCCCAGTGGTGGTACCACCCACAGTGAGCTGGGCCCACATCAACCATTAATCAAGAACATGCCCCCAACCCCAACTTGCTTGCCCATAAGCCAGTATGCTAGAATCATTTTCACAGTGGAGGCTTCATCTTCCCAAATGACTCTAGCCTGTGACATTGACAAAATACTAACCAGAACAGGTTGCAATAAGAAAAAAGCCCACCCTAGGTAGCCTTGATAAACAGAACTGTGTGGTTTCACAGCTCAGAAGGCTGGACATCTGGGGTCATGGTATACACAGTGTTAGCTTCCTCCTCCAAGGGCTCACTGCTTTGTACACAGCCATTTCCTAACTGCCTCTTCCCAAGGTTATCACTCTATTCTCAAAGCCCTCAGCCCTTCTCTCCTTGGAAGGGCACTTGTCATGTTGGAACAGGACTTCCTGGCAACTTAATTTCCTTAAAGTTTCCGTGATAACTTAACCACATTCATACTGTGATGTGCTAGTATTTGAGACTCGCATACAGGAATTTTAGAAAATCACAATTTAATCCAGAATTTTCATCAATAGAACACATCAATTTAAAAAAAATACACAGTCACATTATCTCTGTGACTCCACTCAGATCAGTGCTCAGCTCTGAGGAACAATCCCACATCTGATTCTTACCTTGCATTTCTTTTCCTTTTGTCTGTTTTGAAACGTGGTCTCACATTATTCCTCATGCTGGCCTAAAACTCCCTTCCTGGCCCAGGTTAGTCTTGAACTCTTAGCATTCTTCCTGTCTCAGCCTCCCAAATGCTGGGATAACAGGTGTGCATTAGTCAATACACCCAGACTTATCTTACATCAGTTGATAATGTTATCAAATGTATTTGCATGGTGTGAAAAATCTTACTTTAATCCCTAACAAAAGTCATTGAAAACAATAAATTTCCTTCTCAAGGACAGCCTGAGCTTTAGCTCCTACAGATTTTGATATATTGGATGTACATTATCATTATTTCAAAATGCATTCTAATTTCCCTTTTGGTGTCTTCTTTGACCTATGGGTTATCTGGAAGTGTGTTGTTTAATTTCAAAATGTTAGGGATTTTCTTCATGGCTTTCCATTATTAACTTCTAATTTAATTCTGCTATTGTCAGAGAAAACACTGTGCATGATTTCAATTCCTTTTAAATTATAAAGACCCGGTTAATGGCTCAGCATATGGTTTTACATTTGGAATTAAAAATAATAAAGTTGATAATGGCATAATTTAGCCCAGCTACATTCATGGTGGCCAAGTTGATTCAAAATATCAGTCATTTGTGTTAGTGCCTGAGTGAGGAAAGACAAACTGGAAAAAAAATGTTTTTAATTAGGTGAAGGTTAGATTATTTCTCATGGGAAAATGAATAAGCAATTTATTTTTAGGGGCATGAGTATTCTTTTTCACCCCAAGTATTGACTAAAGGACAATGAAATAAATATACTCCTATGTTAAGAGTCACACCATTTTTTTTTAAACAAATGCTAATCATTTACTTTACCTTTGGAAATCAAGTGATGTGAGCTAGCAAAGATTAGCAAAGCAGAAATTTAACACTTATACTGACAGGAACTGAACAGCACTGAGAGTTCACATCTGTAAAAAGAAATGACCAGCAAAAGAGGCTGTCTAGACACAAGATTTATTATGTTACAAGTTATGTACAATAAAAATATAAACATTTCCGCCCAAACATTTCCCAATACATCACAGGAGAAATGAGCATTAAAGCTCCACTTTTCTATTCCTAAAATGGGCTATAACCTAAAAGTATTGAAAAACTCAAACAAAATAAATACTTAGCACTGACTATCGTACTTTAGGGAAAAACCATCGAGCTAAGCACATTTCTTTCCAGTGCTATTTAAACACAGGATTCCGAGGTAAACCTTATTTAGATGAGTTTCTAGTCAAGGATTTGACCTACATAATATAATTTGTGTAAATCAAAAAGCCAAGCAATATCCTTGAAGGAAGAGACTAAAAATGGTTTAAAATTTTTCAGCTTGGGGATAAACATGCACTAAAGAAACATAAATTTTCACAAATACTTGGCACCAAACAGCTCAGTAAGAGAGGACATTACAGGTCTAACTCTTAAACTCTGAAAGTGTATTTCTGTAAGTGTTGTTTCAGCCACAGTCATCACAAGTATTCAGCAGTTAGTAGTCACCTCTTCAGCGACGACTCCATGGATCCAGCCCTAGATCTACTACTGCCTGCTGGCAACAGGCTATGGCAAGATAGGAGCAGACAATACACTGGCTTGATTGTGTTCCTACTGGTACAAACACTGCTTTGACAAGCCTATGTTTGTAAAAATTTCCCTTTCCAAAGATGTTCTGGAGCAAGGCACAGTGGCTCATGGCTGTAACCCCAGCACTCAAGAAGCTGAAGCAGGAAGATCACCGAGAGTTCAAGGCTAGCTTGGTCTACACATTGAAACCCTGTTTCTAGCAGGCAAAAATGCTTTCTGACTTTCTTACAAAAATTCTAAACTCAAGCCACCAAGCAACCTCATCCACCAGGTCTGCAGCTGTACCTTTTTTAGGTATTATATTGGATTTTCTTATACAGTTCCCTATTAAAATGGTTTAAATGCCAAGCCAAGCCTTGGGAAACAGAGCACACTCTACCTAAGGCATTTTATGGCATCTGGCATTGGGATCCACACTGTAATGAAAAGAAGAAAGTAGCTTGAAGCTCTTTGTCCTGGAAAGATGTTTTTTCTTTTCTTTCTATTCTGTATGTGATGCTGCCGATGGAAGACATGGTCTACTGCATGCAAGCAAACACCCTACCACTGCCCTCACATGCTCACACCTCCAGAAATTAAGCCTTACTACAGGAAAGAGGGGCAAAGCCTTCTGTTATTACAGTCCATGAAATATTATTACCGCAATTTTTATTTTCATAAAACTAAGTTTTAGAGTTGGCCTGGAGGAATTAACCCATCTTTATGACCAGTTCCTGACAAAATGACAGAGAAGAATGGCTTTCCTTCAGGTGCGCCATCCTTAGCAGCGGGAGCCACTTGGCGTTGAGTGCTAAGTATTCAGGGTGAAAAAGGCATCAACCATTTCCAACAAACATGGCAAAGTCTTCCAGCAATGACGAAAGGCAGCTCGTTGTTTCACTGGGAAATTTCTTTTAATCTGAAGTGTGTAAAGGATTACAACACAGCAATCAGCTAATAATCATACACAGCCTTATTAAAGTGATCCCCATCACCAGGGCGCAAGTCAGGGGTCATTCCGCACAGTCATCTGGATACCAGGAAGTAAAGATTTAAAAGCCAAACATCTAACAACACTCCAAATCACACTGGGATGGAATGATAAGCGCCTAGAGTCTGCACCAGGAGATCTAAATTCAAGTCCTGCTCAGTCTTTCTTTCGTTCACAGAAGCTGCCTAAGGCTTGGTATTCTCATGGCAAACCCTATCTTACCCAGTAATTGTATTATACTAGATTAAACATGTCAAACATTTGACATAAGGCAAAAATACCATGTTTACTAAGTAGACATCTGTACTGCTATCTAGAATAAAGAATTAGGAAATAATTTTAAATTAGGCTCTTTTGTTCATGTTAACATTGAACTACACAAAGTAAAAACTCCATGTAATGGTCTTGGCCTATTTTGGTTATTTTTGTTTGTTTTTGTTTTTGACAGGATTGCATTTTGTAACTCTAGCTAGCCTAGAACTCGCTATGTAGGCCAGGCTGGCCTCAAATGGACTTTAGGCTTTTAAATACCAAACCAATTTCATTTCTAATCCCCAAGCCCCTGTGTGTGTGTGTGTGTGTGTGTGTGTGTGTGTGT